GCTAAAAGCTAAAAGGAGCAAAAGATAAAAGACAAAAATTATGCAAAATTGTATATCAAAGCTCCAATTAGAAAGGAAGTAAAAGCTAAAATTAACAAAAGAGTAGCTAAAAGCTAAAAGGAGCAAAAGATAAAAGACAAAAATTATGCAAAATTGTATATCAAAGCTCCAATTAGAAAGGAAGTAAAAGCTAAAATTAACAAAAGAGTAGCTAAAAGCTAAAATAGGTGAAACTGTAGCCCAAATCTAAAACAGCAAATATAAAAGATAAAATATGACCAAAACTGTAAAAGTTGTAATTATCAAAGAGCTAAAAGCTAAATTGAGCAAAACAGTAGCTAAAGGCTAAAATCTGTGAAGCATATTTAATTTGACCAAATGATAAAATCGTAGCTTAAAACGTACGTAAGTTAGGAAAACAACAGCATAAAGCTGAAATTAGCAAAAACAGTAGCTAAAAGCTAGGTGCAAATAAGACAAAACCAGGGTAAATGCTAAAGTTGACTACATAGTACTCTGTTTTAATGTACATTATTAATGAAATGGTTGTAAATCGTGATAATTCAAAAAAGTCACATAAAAAGTTCAGTTGAACATAAAGTTTTGATAAATGTTTGAATTAACTCAAAAACATACTCAGAATAAACATTAAAATGTAAAAGAAATGTGTGAATCCTGATCTCAGTTATAATTCATTCATCTGGTCCTGGACTGCTTGTTGTAATATTTAATCATATGTTAAGATAATTGAATTGATGGAGTTAATATCAGTTTAATAAAGGTGTTTGAACTCAATTCTTTGAATAAATAGAAGCTTGAAATGAATTTAGGTGGGGCCGCCCTCCCCGTTTCCTCCCAGCCACGAGCTGCTSAATAGCAGCTTGATGAATTGGAGGAAGCAGTGAGGATGAAGAGCGCAGAAGCGCCAAGTGATAATGTGGTGTCATCAGTAACCCTGACAACTGCAGCCTCGAMGTCCAACATGTTAATTATGATTTTTTATTTTTTTTTATTTTTTTTTTGAGTGAGGAAATTAGCAAAGTCTTCTTCTCTGTTTTTGGCTTGGCTGCTATAGTTTTTTTAACCTCCACTGCTCACTGCTGACTTCAACAACAAGAGTGAAGATTTAAAATGCAAATCTCTACAACACTGTGCCTCAAGCCACTGGCTTGTGTTCCTCAGCAGTCAATAGTAGCTCCAACACAGGAGCAAAACAGCATAAAGATAATTTTTGACTCAACAAACAACATAGAAAAATAAGATTTGAGCGTTATCAAATCCCATTCAAAATCAAATCTACGGAGCGTTTAAACGGGTCAGTTTCACAATGACCTCCTGGTCATGATGATGGAAAATTACAGATGAAACGAGCGACTGCACAGGTCAGCAGGCGGCGAACGAATCAGAGGATTTTGTGTCCGTGCCCTTCGGTGTGTCAACCTCTTTAACGCTCAGACGTCAGAGTTAAGTGGCTTCTCCGTGTTCAGGCCTTGAAATGAATGAGCTGTTGTTACAAACACATTTCCCTCATTACATCACAGGAAAAACACACATTTTACACTGAAAACGGTTGAATTTAATTCACTAATTTCTCTTAAAATACTTATAGTTAACAGCTTTTTGTTGCTTTATTTTAATTAAAGTTTGTTTGTGTTTTTATGTTTGTTGTCATTTCTCCTGCTGAGTTCCATGGGTTACGAGTTCATCCAAGGAAGAAGTCAGGATTCAATGAATATTTTAGTAAGAAGTACTTTTAGCGTATTTAAATGTGACAAGACAGGTGTGTTGGTTTGCAGCATTCATAATTTAGAGATTATAAGTCAAAATATAAATGTGAAATATGATTTTTAAGCAAATTGATCATTGCTGAATCCAGCCCCATGAATCCATTAAAATGTACTGAAGTCTGTTTAACTCAGAAGAAAGAACTCAGATGTTGTTTAACACAACTGTCAGAAAACTCATGAAGAAAACTCATGACTTGATCAGTGTTTTTCTCAGTAGTTTATGGTCAATGCTGACTGTAAGTTAGGGCTATTCAACTAAATTACTCAATTGGCCACATAACCAACAGCTCTGGGGCAGGAAGTAATATTATCCTTCACTTTTTAAATAAGTATTGAACACGTCACCATTTTTCTCAGTAAATATATTACTAGAGGTRCTAATGACATGAAATTTTCACCAGATGTCGGTAACAACCCAAGTGATCCATACATACAAAGAAATCAAACCATAAATGTCCAGAAATGAAGTTATTTGTAATAATGTGGAATGGCACAGGGAAAAAGTATTGAACACACTTACTGAAATTTATCTAATACTTTGTACAAAAGCCTTTGTTGTCAATGACAGCTTCAAGACGCCTCCTGTATGGAGAAACTAGTGGCATGCATTGCTCAGGTGTGATTTTGGCCCATTCTTCCACACAAACAGTCTTCAAATCTTGAAGGTTTCGTGGACCTCTTCTATGAACTCTGATCTTTAGTTCTTTCCATAGATTTTCTGTTGGATTCAGGTCAGGTGATTGGCTGGGCCATTCCAGCAGCTTTAGTTTCTTTCTCTGAAACCAACTGAGAGTTTCCTTGGCTTTGTGTTTGGGCTCATTGTCTTGCTGAAATGTCCAGCCACGTTTCATCTTCATCATCCTGGTAGATGGAAGCAGATTTTTATCAAGAATGTCTCTGTACATTTTTCCACTCATCCTTCCTTCAATTATTTGAAGTTTGCCAGTACCATATGCTGAAAAACAGCCCCACACCATGATGTTCCCACCTCCAAACTTCACTGTTAGTATGGTGTTTTTGGGCTGATGTGCAGTGCCATTTGACCTCCAAACATGATGTGTATTCTGGCATCCAAACAGTTCAATGTTGGTCTCATCTGACCAGACTATATTCTCCCAGTATTACACAGGCTTGTCTAAATGTTGTGCAGCAAACTTTAAAGGAGCTTCAACATGCTGTTTCTTCAGCAGTRGAGTCTTGCGTGGTGAGCGTGCATACAGGCCATGGTGGTTCAGTGCATTACTTATTGTTTTCTTTGAAACAATCGTACCTGCTAATTCCAGGTCTTTCTGAAGCTCTCCACAAGTGGTCCTTGGCTCTTGGACAACTCTTCTGATCATTCTTTTCACTCCTCTGTCAGAAATCTTGTGAGGAGCACCTGGTCGTGGTCGGTTTATGGTGAAATAATGTTCTTTCCTCTTCTGAATTATGGCCCCAACAGTGCTCACTGGAACCTTCAGAAGTTTAGACATTCTTCTGTAACCGATGCCATCATTATGCTTTGCAACAATAAGGTTGTGAAGGTCTTGAGAGAGCTCTTTACTTTTACCCATCATCAGATGGTTCTTGTGTGATACCTGGCCATCATTTGGGACTGAACCAGCTGATATTAACTTGCACTGACAAGGGGCAGGCTTGTTTTCTAATCACTGAGAGAGTTCAGCTGGTGTCTTGGCTTTCCATGCCTTTTTACACCTCCCTTTCTTCATGTGTTCAATACTTTTTCCCTGTGCCATTCCACATTATTACAAATAACTTCATTTCTGGACATTTATGGTTTGATTTCTTTGTATGTATGGATCACTTGGGTTGTTACCAACATCTGGTGAAAATTTCATGTCATTAGCACCTCTAGTAATATATTTACTGAGAAAAATGGTGACGTGTTCAATACTTATTTTACCTGCTGTATATTGAATTGTAAATTCAAAAGAACCATTRACACAAAAACTATTTTCWTTTTWAWTWARKWAAAAATAAWAATAATTTTGGCGGGCCGTACAGAAGCCACTTGCGGACYGCATGTGGCCCACAGGCCTTGAATTTGACACGTGTCCGAGACAGTTTCTGACCCATACTGTTGCACCCACCTTTTTGCTGCTGCTCTAATTTTCTATATTTTTCTTGCTAAACTGCAAAAACGTGCACTTTTTCACTTTTAAATGTAATGGTAATCTATTATATATTGCAACTACTGCATCTCTTTAATATTTATGCCATACCATTAACTTGAGAAAACTACACACAGAAAAGCAGRCACTATTTAAATTTATGAGTCTTGGGGGGGTAAAATCATGTCCCTGCAATCTGCTGTTTTGTCCTCAGATGGACTCCTGCAGGCTGCTTTTCGAGCTCATCTCCTGTTTTCATGCAGATGAATATTTTAAGGTTGTAAGTTGGAGTGGAAAGAAGTGCCGCTGACCTGAGCTGTGCAGAGAGAGGCTGTGCAGGAACCCCAGATGGAGAAGCTACACGTTGCTCTCTGCAGAAACAGCCAGAGGAGTTGGCAAATATCAGCCCTTCAGTTTGCCAGCTGTTCCCTCACCAAAGACCTCTCTGATAATCTCATTTCTCTCCTCTCGGCATCATATCACAGTTCAAACAGAAAGCAGATGATATGATGTAGATGTGGCCCATCAGAGGCGGCAGTC